ACAAAAGGAGAGGTGGAATTGTACATTCACCACACACACAGACGGCCAAATCAGCCAAGCTCCCTAGGATGCCGCCTGAAACGCCTAAAATGCTTCTCTACAATGATCACCCCTAATTGAGGGATCTTGGTGGGAGTGGTGAGAAGAAAAGTGGGTTAGAAAAGAGAGAAGAAGCATTCTTTCCTAGAGGGAATGAGCTGGTAATCAACTGAGAACCGGCTGGCACTGCTAGGAAGTAAGAGGAGGGAAGGAAAAGAATTTCAATGAGTCCAGGGAGCTTCTGCTCCCCCAACAACCAAACCGCGACAGACAGCCTGGCAACATCAACCCTCCCGGGATCTTGAGATCCAAAGGAGATGTTAAAAACTGGCTCTGTAATAAGGGTACAAAAAAAAGGTTCTTCCAATACTCAGTAAAAAGTGAGGTTCTAATAGTTAGTTCACCTGCCCCACCCCCTCGTCTCTCTACTTCTCTTGCGGGCCAAGAGCTTCATTACCTACCATCCAACTTCTCAAAAGGGGAAGGCTCCCAGCCTCACGTGACACCGTGGTCACGTGACCCAGACGCCACGGGAGCCAAGTCCGCTTTCCAGCTTCTGAAGCCAGAGGGGGCCCGGCGTGGCCAGCCCCCAGCTGCCAACAGCCTGCCTGTCGTGACCATGCTGTCCCGCCTGCTAAAAGAACACCAGGCCAAGCAGAACGAACGCAAGGAGCTGCAGGGTGAGCCGAATATCCCATCAGCAGTCATCTCTCCTGCCGCGGCCTAGCTTCAGCCCGGAGCCTGGACCTCGTGTAACTGCCCAGGTCCAGAGAAGGGCGTCGCTAGCGGGCAGTGGGCATAAGCGAGAGGGGATTAGGGAGCAGCTTTTTTAGAAATTCCGTTCGTTGCCAACGGGCTCTGTTCCCTTTGGCTACACTCCCGCCCCTTCGGCAACGCCCCAATCCCCAACTCGGAGGCATCCCCGCCCCGCCTCCGCTCGCGGAATGCCGTGCCTATTGGTCCAGGGAGCCTTCACCCTGCAAGTAGGAAGGAACGCCCCTCAGGGAGGAGGGTGCTGGGGACTGCAGAGAGACCGGATTCTTGGAGGCCTGGAATCTCCGGAACGGAGGGGGGCACTTATTCTTGAATCTGGTCTGGGAATCCTGAAGTTAGAGATCCTTTGGCCAAGCTAGTGGACAAGTGTGCCTGGGAGTCAGGAGTCCTGGGCGCTGCCATTGACTCTTGGGTGTCCTTGAGGGAGTCCCTTTCCTTCTCTGCGTATCAGTTTCTTCATCTCTGAAATGCAAGGGGTTGCTTTGTTTTTTCAAGGTCCGTCTCAGATCTGGCATTCTAAGGTTAGTTGAGATGATTATAGTAGAATAGTAGGAATGGGTGGAGAACCCATAGCACCGGCCCTCAAAAAAGCAACTTTCAGCTGGATGCAGTGGCTGGTGAAAAACTTAGCCGGGCCTGATGGCGCCTGTGGCTCAGTGGGTAGGGCGCCGGCCCCATATACTGACTGTGGCAGGTTCAAACCCGGGCCCTGCCAAACTGCAACAACAACAACAACAACAAAAATAGCCAGGCGTTGTGGCAGCCGCCTGTAGTCCCAGTTACTCAGGAGGCTGAGGCAAGAGAGTCACCTAAGCCCAGGAGTTGGCGGTTGCTGTGAGCTGTGATGCTATGGCACTCTACCGAGGGCAATAAAGTGAGACTCTGTGTCTAAAAAAAAAGAAAGAAAGAAAGAAAGAAAAACTTAGCCAGCCCGATGGCACATGCCTGTAGTCCCAGCTCCTCAGGAGACTTGAGGCAGGAGGATGGCTTGACACCAAGAGTTTGATACTCCAGTACACAATGATTATGCCACTGTGTTCTAGCTGAGTCAACAAAGCAAAACCCTTTTCTATTAAAAAAAAAAAAAAAAAAAAAGGGGCTCAGCGCCTATAGCTCAAC